GAACACACAACGTGTGGAGGATTAATGGAGTGCAGGGCAACCGAATCTGGCATGTGATACTCATATGTAGGATCATCCGCTCACGAGATGCAGCCCATGTATGATGGTATGTATGATATTCCACGCACGAGGTGCAGCCCATGAAATGGGCGGAGTGTAGACGGCTCATATGATAGTATGTTTGATAGTCCACGCACGAAGTGCGGACCGCTAACGAACAAAGTGCGATGCCCGTTAGGGGGCAGGAGTGTGGGCGTATGAGTGTGATGGCCAAAGGCAGTGGTAGATTGCCAGATGAGAGGAGATAGCTTGCCCATGTTTGCCCAACCTCCATGCGAAGTTGTGACATATTGAAATGCACGTATGTGAATGACGCTGCTGTTGCTATCAGCGCAGTCTGTCAGCATGACCTTATCAGAGCAAATTGCCATGCGGTTCCAAGCAATCGGCAGCTGGTCTAAGCAAGTGTGTGGGTACATGCATCAGTGTGAGTTGTGTGCCCGCGTGGCGAGTGCTTACATACCTCATTGTGTTGTGCAATGCGCTTGTACCTCTCGCAGCTTTTGGATCAGCTGCGCCATGTCTGTGTCGGTCGTCCTGATGTAGCGCAGGACACTGTTGCTCCTCCATCGGCCCATTGCCCTGATTAACCTTTTCCGTGCTGGCCCCATTTACTCCAGCAAACTGCCTTTCCAGCGCACTGACTCTCCTGGTATCGTTTTCGCGCAAAGGTCCGAACAACTTTTTTCTCTAAGTTCAGTTGACCTTGATGGATTTTCGTCCTCCTGGGCTTGTTGGAATGATCAGGACCAAGCGAATCTATCCTGGCACCTCTCATCTCAATATGCATGGCGGTACGACTACTAGCGTCTTCTCGAAATTACCTTTCGATGCCTCGGAAAGGCACAGCAACTCGATCTAGCCTAGGCAGCAGCCTCCCAGAGTGGTAGCGTAAGAGTGCGTCATTGCCATCAGATAGATAGGCAATCAAATATGTCAGGATGGCGCAATCGGGCAAGGTTGTGGAGTGGCTTCAAGATTCGTGTTGCACACTGCAGCCATATACACATGAAATGTCCGTAGTTCCACCGGTTGCGGGAAGTGTGCTGCGATGCACCTGAGCATTATGTCTGTAGCCGCCAGGGACGTCCATCTCCACTACGCGCATAATTGCATAAATAATCTTTTCCAAGTGGTGTATGTTCACCATGCTGTCAGGGTGATTGCCATGGCTGCCAGGTCGGCAACCGTCCGCATCAGTCCAGCAGTGGGAAGCGGATTGTAGTGTCTGGGGCTTGCCGTGCCGATGGCGCCAGCTGATGGAATGCTTGCAGGTTGAAACGAGACAGAGCATCGGCGATCGGCTAACCTCTTATTGATATGCAATAAGTGCCGTGCAAATGTTCTGCCTGGTGCGACGATGCTTGACGCAAAGGAGGGTTTCCCAAGAAGTGGTCGAGTTTGCGTTGTGTGGGCTGGAGCGTAGGCCGTACGGCAGCAGCACTCGATCAAAGCAAAATTTCCCTTGCCACTGAATACCCGTTTAACTCATTGGATTTCTTTGTATTCTGTATCTCGTTATCGTTATCTTTTCCACTAGTCCTCTCGCTTAGGATGAGGTTTCTTTTTTATGGCAGTTTAAGCGAAGGCTATATACCTGCTTTATGCAGGTTGATGCAAACGCAAACAAACATAATAATAATAATAATAATTTGAAACTCGGATGTTGAGCCATAAATAAATGTAGAAAGGAAAAGGACATATTAACTCTCCATCACTGTAACTGGATTATACATTCAGAAAGTGCAATAACTAGGCACAAAACTGACAAGAGTACTGAGACATTCGACGTCCTGACACCAAGCTTCAACACATCTCCGTAGCGCTAACCGACAGCCTTCCAACTTGGAAGGTTAAAGGTTATGGAAAGCCCAAAGAGGGTAAGGCAAGCGCAACGAAAACGAGCAAAAGCTACAGTCCCAATGGAACAAAGAATGTCGATTGTTACTGGACGACGACGAGACCAGTACGATATTTGACAAAGCGCTTGCCTTCCCCTCTTTGGTCTTTCCATAACCTTGAACCTTCCAAGTTGGAAGGCTGTCGGTTAGCGCTACGGAGATGTGTTGAAGCTAGGTGTCAGGACGTCGAATGTCTCAGTACTCTTGTCAGTTTTGTGCCTAGTTATTGCACTTTCTGACTGTATATAGTATCCAGTTACAGTGATGGAGAGTTACTCTTAACTCGTATCCGTATGTCCTTTTCCTTTCTACAATAATAATAATAAATAATAATAATAATAACTGAATACCAAGCAGAGACCAGTCCGGCGGGTGCACAGGGATGAGCGGAATGCGGAATGCATTGCGGATGCCCAGCTGTGTCAGCAATGCACCCTACCCGTAGGCCATGATTGTTTGCACTGCGTCGTCAATCCGAATATAAGACAGGCTAAACGCGGACGGATCAATGCCATCGTTAACACTTTTGCCAACGGGAGCTGATAAATGGTGGAAATGCGTAGTTTACTATTCTTCTTGGGCACCATGCCAATGCCCGAGTACTGGAAGGATGGAAATGGACGGATGAAATATGGGCAGCAGGTCTCTCCTTGTGCACAGGATGTTGCCAGATACTCTGATATGTACACGAGATGTTCAGTACATAAGGGAAGATTAGCGTCCATCACAGTCTGACGACGACCCGTGAAGCCTATGCGGAATCCAGCTTGTAAGTCCCTGCTCACGCAGGAAGAGAATGCCTTGTCTGGATGATCAGTGAGCAGTCTAGTAAAGCGGACGAATTCAGTGGGCGTGTGAATACTAGATACTCCAGCATGTACAAGGAATGTTCGGCACATGAGCGAATATTTGGGTCCTTCACAGTCTGACGGCGACCCATGAAGCCTAAGGCTATGCGGAATCCAGATTATAAGCCCCTGCTCACGAACGTGGAGAATGCCTTGCCTAAATGATCAGTGAGCAGTCTAGTAAAGCTGACAACATCGATGGGCATGTGAATACATGGCATATTGTAATCAAGAGCAGGGCTGGCTGGTATGGTGAGTGACAGAAACTGTGTGTTATTACCGTCTTCACATGTCTGCTTCAAAGCAGAGCTAGAGGCGTGGCTCCTTGCCATCCTTGGGTGGGGATCTGCCATGTGTGGCCTACTTGCCGGACTGTTTGGCGGGTGGAGCTGATGTACTTGGCCAGTTGCTGGAGGAGGTGGACATGCATGCCAATTTTGGGTGGTGGCCTTGACATTACTGTAGAGGTGCGCTCCCCCACACTGCCCTTGGCATCTGGTCCAGTTGGAATTCCAGCTAATTGGGCGACCACTGACTGAGGATGAGGAATGTATGACGCCGAGGAGAGTGGCAGATTGACGACGTGGACACAGCCCCCCCCCCCCCCAACGGACGGGGGGGGGGAACGTGTGAGCCTGCGAATCACGAAGCTCAAGCCTTGCTAGTAGTGCTCAGTTTCCACATGTTATGACATGGTCCTGTGTTCCTCATGTTAGCTTGGAGGTTTACCGCCCACCAACCCTTGGGTCCTGTACGGTTTTGCTTGTTTTGTCCGCTGTTTTCTGGTTTTCCATGGCATGTGGCATGCTGTGTTTCTCTTCCGAGGGGCTCAGCGTTTTTTTGTATGATTGCTTTCTTCCACTTGCTTATCTTCGGCTTTTTGGTTGTGACTGGCAGTGCGGCAGGTCCCATATTACTAGAAGAGTTTTTTGGCGGCAAGGCGAGTTTTCCGCCAGCCCGGTGTAGCGGTCATGTCTGGAAATTCGGGGAGTCGGATTTTCAGGTGCTACCCTGCTGCCCAGTTACCCACACCGTGCCATTGCTCTGCCCGTGTCTTGCACTGACATCTCTCTTGCTGGCAGGGTTGCTCTTTATTACTTTCTTGCCTTGTTTTTTTGCTAGCGTGTGGCTGCGAGTGTGAAATACGGTACACGGAGTGAATTCTCTGGTAGACCACTACCCATGTGCATTCCCAGGTAGACCACTACCCAAGTACATTCTCTGGTAAACCACTAACCACGTACATTCTCTGGTAGACCACTACCCACGTACATTCTCTGGTACACCACTACCCACGTACATTCTCTGGTAGACCACTACCCACGTACATTCTCTGGTAGACAACTACCCACGTACATTCTCTGGTAGACCACTAGCCACGTACATTCTCTGGTAGACCACTACCTACGTACATTCTCTGGTAGACCACTACTCGTGAGTACATTCTCGGGTAGACCACTACTCGTGAGTACGTTCTCGGATAGACCACTACCCCATGTACAAACCGGTTGCTATCTGAGTGAAAGCAAATAGTTGGAGAAGGCATCCAGGTAACAGCGAAGATGATCAGAGACGCAGAGAAGCTTCGTGACATACGACATCCAGTTAATCGACCTGCCACTTGGAACGGTTTCAGCGGTGATGAGTTGAGCGATGGCGACCCAGACTGACACTCTACTCCCACTAATCGATCCTGTAAATATTGTAGATATGTCGATTGAATGTGTTGAAGTGTTTCTCTTCCAAAAGAACACTTCTGTTGAGCTCAGTAACTCCTTGAAAAGTAATGTCAAAAAGTCACGAAGTTTTTTTTCCAGAGGAAGTAGGAGGGTATCCATTTTTCTCCTGAGAAATCAATCAGGTGGTTGGAGTACAGTGTTTTTGCAACGGTGCATGGAAATAGCATGGCTACATGTACATGCTACTGTACAATTTCTATGTAGCGCAAGTGCACACTCACAGTACAAACTGTGTCAAAAATACCTGATAGGGTACCCGCGCTACCCGGATAAAATACCCGGACCCGTTACCCGACAAAACCCCTACCCGTTGCAGCCCTAAACTAGTGCACCGCTAAAAGTTGTTGAAATTAATTGCAAGTTGTACATAGTTTGAGAGGTGAAAATTGCTTTGGTGCGACACTGGCAAAGCAGCATTCACTTGGGGGAGGGAGGAGATACTTCTGACTTACCATGATTGTCATGGGAATTCTCGAATCATCCCAAACGTAAAAGTATGGCTCCGGCACTTGTTTCAAGAGATCCGGTCTAATCACAGGTTCGGTTGGAGTGCCGATATTCACGGTTTGTCGGATTTGTTCCACATCGTCATCTTCACATGCTCTCACCAGATCTGGATGAGGTGCATTGGTTGAGTAGTAGTGATCACTGTCCACATCAGCCATATCTGGTGGTAGATACTTGTCCTTACTCTCCTCTTCAGACGCTGCTTCCATTGCTACAGTACAAACATAAGCACATGGAAAAGAAATGTCTATTTGTACATGGTAAGATTGCATGGTGTATAGGTAAATACTGAAATTGCATGGTATGTAGGTAAATTCTGGGATTGCATGGTGTGTAGGTAAATACTGGGATTGCATGGTGTATAGGTAAATACTGGGATTGCATGGTGTATAGGTAAATACTGGGATTGCATGGTGTGTAGGTAAATACTGGGATTGCATGGTGTATAGGTAAATACTGGGATTGCATGGTGTGTAGGTAAATACTGGGATTGCATGATGTGTAGGTAAATACTGGGATTGCATGGTGTATAGGTAAATACTGGGATTGCATGGTGTATAGGTAAATACTGGGGTTGCATGGTGTATAGGTAAATACTGGGATTGCATGGTGTATAGGTAAATACTGGGACAGGGAACGCATCATCTTCTTCTGTTGAACATGTATTTGTCAACATGGCATCTTTGAAAACTAATGAATCACTTTTTGGCAAAGCCACCATCTGTTGGACCTAGGTTGAAAGGTTGGACTGATCTACATCAAAGCCAGCCATCCTCTACTAGTGATATAGCAGTGATGATTTAGAACTGTAAAGTGTGTTCAGCACTGGCAAACCTAGATAACTGCTTTCTGGTACACGAACTTGACTGGAGATAGGTTTCAGTAAGTCTGTTATGTGCACTGCACAACTTAGCACCACTGTATGAAGGAAATGAGCGAGAAGTGGATTGCAAGCATTGTGTTGTGATGCACATGCAAACTTAGTACATCCCACAAATACCCACACACCTTGGCACTTGCAGACGCGCAGGCTGTTCTAGAACTACCTAGTGTCTGTAGTGATGTTAGTTGTAATGACATTCCCCAAACTGTCTTTGTCCAGGCAAGTGTGCATGTGGATGTATGATGTTGTAGTCAGGAGTCGTTTTGCGACGCGTCTTGTTTATCTCTTTGACAGGGTACTGCTGCTAGGGCTCTAGCAACAAGGGAAAACGGTCAAATTTCAATAAAAAAACACGCCACCCAGAAAGGCCCGTGAATCAGGCAGCCAATCTCTATAAATATTCCACGGTATATAGCTTCCAGGAAAGCTACTGCTACAAGGCAATCAATAAACTAGAGCGCCAGTCATCATACATAAAATCAAGTGCCAATGCCCTGCGGAAAAGTCTTTGAGCGTATGGCAATATGCGCGTTCGTTGAGCGCTATAACTCAACAAATATAGGTCCCATTCCTTGAGCGATTATTGCAATCACAAGTTGAGAGCCGTGTCTTCAGCCTACATAGTTCGATTGTGAGAAAACTGCAAACACAGCCATCCAAGACAAGTTTTGGGATAGATTGAGACTCCCTGTGGGTACATTGATTACTCGCAGACTACCACATAGTAGGACGTATGTAGCAGGGGCCACTGAAGACATGATGCAGGCACCATACTTGTACATGGTAAGACACATCTGGAAATAGGCTGCTAGTGCGGTTACAATTACACCCAGACAGTCGCGTGTAGGAACATTGCGGTGGAGCTTGTAACCTAGAGTCAGGTGACCAGCTCAAATGCTTACGGAGTGCTTTGCAGGCCACATACTAGTAACAAAGGTCACCCATCATCAATATTACCATTTAGGCCGGTTCGAACCTTAATCTAGCCTTATTCTAGCCTTAAAGGGGAACTGTCACCAACAATTTTTCTTTGTCTTACTGTACAAGCAGAAATATTCGTCTGGAATTTAATTTCGTCTTTTTCGTCCAACGAGCTGTTGGACTAAATTAAATGCTGGACTAATATTAATTTGTCCATCTTTTCAATACACTCTTATGATCCATGGACGAAATTTACAACCGGACGAACTCCCTTTCTTTGGAGTTGGACGAAATTATTGACCGACGAAATTTTCTGCTTAGACAGTATCTTGTAGTTCTTTGGCTCCTGATCACGATGGTGTTATCCGTTTTTCTCTGCGATGACAGGAAGTGGGTGAAAACTTTAAAAGAAGGTCCCCAAAATTGTCCCGAAGTACCGAGTGATGTCACGCCGGACTTGACCTCCACGCGTACATTCATCGTCAAAAACGAAGTCCAGCCCGTGTGCTGTGGTCGATCGAGCCAACTGTTCGATGTACGGTGCACGCTTGCCTTCTGAACTGGGACACTGATGTGTACGTTGTACACAATGAGAACGCCAAAAAGGGACAAAAAAAACAAAAGTCGACAGCAGTTTGTCGCACTGAAACTTCCTCCACGAAGCTCCAGCTCTTTGTTTTACTCGTGATCACGAAGGAGTCGAAGGATGTTTGTTTGCTGTTAGTGTGACACACATGCCTCGTACTTGAAAATTATGTCGTTGTATCGAAGGTGGCGGTGTTGCCCACCTGGCTCTGAAATGAAAGACGTCAGAGTTGGTCATCTGCATCTTCAGCAATAACGCCAGCTGAATCGCCTTCACGTACCTACATCGCGTTCCTTTGGGGCTCGGGTTGGTGGTGTTATCGCCGGCCGGAGGAGTACTGTTTTCTGCATACGACCTCATCATCGTGTTGTTCCTCACACGAAAAGTTCAAAACAACAACGTACTTCCGTGCTCACAAAATAAAACTTACTAGATCCTCGCGGAAGAAGTCAAAAAAGGTGCAAGCTCAGCTGCTTTTTATTTTGATTTGGCCTTGTAGCTGCACGTGGGTCTCTGCCTCTTTAGCATTCTCCTTCGGTACGACATACCCATCTGTGTTACAGTCCCAAAGGCACACGTGCACCGTACATTGGAACAGCTAGCTCGATCGACCAGCACACGGGCTGGACTTCGTTTTTGACGACGAATGTACACGTGGAGGTCAAGTCCGGTGTGACGTCACTCGGTACTTCGGGACAATTTTGGGCACCTTTTTTTTCAAGTTTTCACCCACTTCCAGTCATTGCAGAGAAAAACGGATAACACCATCGTGATCAGGAGCCAAAGAACTACAAGATAAGACAACAAAAATTTGGTGACAGTTCCTCTTTAATCTAGCCTTAACCTAAACAGAAGAAACAGATACCCAGAGCATAACAACGTTCTTGCGCGTGCAATCAAGATACAAGAGTACTTCTAGAATAAGGCTTATACCCGCTCAACCACATGGTGGATGTAATATTCGCATGTATGTTGGTTGAAAATACAAGTCTGAGTGGCGGTGCGAGCCCTAGTTTACCCGTCTCTATGTGGCAGGCACAGAGCCTCGTCAAGGCAACGCAATAAAGATGTGAATAGGGCAAGAGGAGCACAGCAGCCACTCTTATAGAGACCATTTAGCAGTGTTAGCCTGAGCACCCACAAACATGTAAGCACCTCCAAGTGCTCCCGCATGCCACTCGTGCGCCTACGCTGACAGACACACATGCACACATACACACATACACCTGGCCTGGCCTGGTGTACAGCTGCCAAATGCTTGGCCACGCCGCCCCCAAGACAGGGGAGAGTAGAAGAGAGAGTTCGAGAGAAGGCAGCACTGCCACTAGGAAGCCGCTCCGCCACGACGCCGTCCACGATTGCAATTGTGTCGCCGAAAGCCAGGAGCAGATTTAAAACAGCGATCACAGGTAGCGCAGTGCTGGTTGCAACACGGACGGCTGGTGATTGGTATGCGCTGGGGTAGGGCGGGTGTTGTGCACTTGTGCACAGCCAGTCCACCGGCACTTCGGAACCACCGAAGGCAGGCATGGCATTGACGTGCGTCCGGCTGTTCCGCTACAGGCAGCTGGCGATCAGCAGAATATTTGTGTCGTCCAAGTACAGATTTACTCTTGAATGTCCGTTTACATACCAGGCAAGAGAGCGGTACCGGGGCAGGACCCTGCACACGAGTGCGGTACGCATCTCTCCATTGCTGACAATCCTGGGCCAGAGTAAACCATTCATCAATTTAGCACAGTTTCATGTCTGACTGTATTCTGTCCTTCCACCGAAGACGAGGTCCCTGAGCTGGTCGGGGAGCGTCATGCCATCCAAACTGCAACTGCTTAGGGAGACGGTTGTCAGGCATCCGAGCTACATGGCCCAACCACTGGAGGCGGTGACGGCGCATAGTGTCCGACACCAGATCCTCATCCCTCCAACGCTTACGGAGGTCACAATTCCGGACATGACTCAACTTCTGATCTCAGCGCGAGACTCCCAGGATACACCGTAGACATTGATGATGAAAGTTGTCAATACGGATCTCATCACGACGAAGAACCGGCCAACACTCAGCACCATACAGCAAAACAGTCAGAACGCAAGTTTCGTACAGCATTTTCTTTGTGCGGATGGACAGGCTGGGAGTGTTAAACACACAGCGGAGTACTCCAAATGCACGAGTTGCGCTGGCAAGACGACGATCAACCTCAAGGCCAACACGAGAGTCAGGGTTAACGAGGCTGCCAAGATATACGAAGGAGGCCGTGAGTTGAACATGTGTCCTCCACACATACACACACACACACACACACACACACACATGCACACACACACACACATGCACACACACACACACACACACACACGCACACATGCACACAATCTCCACGCACACACCACAAGCAGCCACACGCACAAACAAACACACACACACACTCACCCACCCACACAATACAATACAATATGCCCATCAGGAGATGATAGCAGGTCCCAAAGGGACCAACAGTGTTCAAGTCACGAGCAGAATCGGGCGTGGCGAGTCAAGTCCTGGCGACGGCGATGGCACTTTCCACAAGTGCAAACGAAGTCTAAGGTGACAGGCTCGGTCGGAGGAATGGTGCTGCATGCTGATCTCCACTCTCTGTGATCCTGGGCGGGGTCGTACCAGTCCACTATCTGGCGGTCTTTCATGTCGGACACAACATTTTCCCGCCACCGCTTCCGGGGCCCATGACGTGGCCGGGTCTTGTCCAGTTCACCGAAGAGAATACACTTTGGCATATGGGAGCACCCCCCCCCCCCCCCATACACACCTCAGACCTCAGATATGCCC